TGTCATCAACTTTTCTTGAAGTGGTGACATTATATAAATCGTCTTTTTCATTGTCTGATTTAATAAAAATGATTTTTTCATTAATATTTTTTTACTTAATGTGAGTTATATAATGCCATGATACTCGACAGTCACATCTGGTTAAAAAAAATAGTTATTGCATTAAACCTATACTAATTATTCTTTGATTTAGTATAATTTATTAAATCGATATTGAGTGAACAAAGAATTTTTGTGGTGATACATTAAAGCGGATAAATTAACGAAGTTTATGTTTATACATAGACTAGCTTTTGCTCGCGACTTCGTAGGCGTGGAATAGTGACTTCCGGCAGATTATTGGATCTTCCCACATAGTTCCCGTTCTTGCGGGATTTTCGGAATGGTCGAGTTCCCGCAGAATTTTCAGGATAAAACCTATTTTTTTTTCCAGTTCCAAACTATATCTGTACAATTTTTACAGAAAATTTAATTATTTTAAAGAACTTCTGCATATACTAAAAAAAGTGTTATTATTGTGAAACTAAATACTATCGTAAAACAAATAAAGTACCTACTATATAGAAAACAACTACAAAATGAAATTGTGTTTAAAAACAAAATAACATTGCACGCACATATACAATCAACATCGCGACAAGATGCAGCGAAACGCTTAGGTAATTTTTAAGTTACCCAAATTTTTTAAACTCGCTATATCTTTGAATGGAGTATCTATAAAGGTGTTAAATAAAAAGTAAGTTATTTAGATAAGTATAAATACCATGGTATGAATGTTGACATCTTATTTTCGTTGTCGATTTAAATAGTTTGTTAAACTATAAAAGTTTTTTACTTTAGGCGGAAGAGCGGTCAACAAAATGTACAATCATAATGGTTTAAGAAAGAATTTTTGAAATCGGTCCAGTAGTTTTTGAGCCTATTCGTAACAAACAAACAAAAAAATATTACCTCTTTACAATATTAGTTTAGATAAAGGTATTATTCAGTATAAGATTAATGACTGCACGGAACGGATTGAAACTGAATTTGTGTCACCAATATATAACTGAAACCGATACCGTTATTTAACAAACAACATTCAATAAATCTGACAACAAATTTGTAGTTTTAAAATTACCTTTGTATATTTTGATTATTTTGCTTTAGTAATCTTTAAATTTTTATTCACACAGATCTTATGAAAGACGATACAGAAAGCTTAATATAATATTAAATTTTATATTGACCATCTCGAATTCACTACAGATTAACTAATAAGGTAACTAAAACATTTATTATTGAAGTTTCAAACTTAGTACTTGTCAGATTTAAACATCATTATGTATAAATAGAAGGTATAGATACCATCCAACCATTAAAACCATCTTCATCCATTAAATTGATGTTATACAAAAAAGTCATTGAGGTATTCATAGCGAAATTAAAATTTAATTTTAAATACACAAACACAAAAAAATGGTTTTACAAAATATTTAAAAAAATTGGTTATACAAAATCTCTTTGATTTTAGCTTAAAGGATCTCGTATTATTTAAAAATCAATATTTGATCAAATTCCTCGTACTACTTCGACCCAACCATCAGGGACGTAAGACCAACTTCAAGCGCAACTTTCGTGGAACATGAAATCTTCTTGTCGAACTTTCTGTCCCATGACTAAGATGTTCGAACACTCTGTCTTCTCAGTGTCGTTATATGAATGTGTATATCTATGGATTCACTTCCATTTATCTTAAATCATTTATCGTTTGATTAATAGGTTTGGGATTGTAAGGGTGGAAACAAAAACAGTAAGAGTTAACGACGAGAACAAAGTATAAGATCATGTATCATCAACAATATTAATGATATACTTTTATATATGAGGTTTTTGTGTAGATTGACTTATATCAGGAAGGTGTTGGTCCTATTGACATCAGAAACGATTTCCTTCAGAAATATGATTCCTAGTCTTTTTTCGCGATTATGATATATGTAGGCACAAAGGAAAAATAATAAAAACATGATTGAAGGAGCGGTTCGTTCCAGATTTATTACAATTATCTTTTACAAATTTTTATATTAAATTATAAATTTGAACACTTAAGTTCTGTTTTTGTGCTCAATCAATCTATAAGTATATATTTTAGTATTTTTAACATTTAAATCTCAAAATAATAGAAGTGTTTCTTACAAAAAAAAAGACGTATAACAAAATACCTTAGCTGTTCAACATTCATTTCGATTGTATCATTTACATGATAAGAATCGTTTCAAATCTTATATCCCTCACTTTTGACTCGCTTGAAAGCCAATATATCTAAATATTCACTTGGATCTATCCAGGTATATTGAAGCCGCCTTTTTGTTAATACTTGTTGGCACCAACAAGTAAATAGAGTTTTATAAAACGCTTTTAAAAGTGGACTATCATTAATTATACAATTTCTTTAATAATATTAAGTTAAAACAATTAATTTATTTGCTAAAAAATTTGTTCTACTCTTAGTCGTTTACATTATTTTTTTTTTTGTTGTTATGATGCGTTTGTTTTAATTTGATCAAATCTATTTATTGTCCATAATAATTATTTAATATACGTCTGTATTCATATTAATAATTCAAATCATTGCACAATATTTCCATTGTATATTATTTTCACGACAAATAACATCTTTCCGTAAACAACACTCCATTATTTCAAATAAGCCGAAAACTTATTTCTCTAACAATAAATAGTTGAGTCCCAATCTGCTTCGCTTTATTAGCTGCTTCATTTGAACCTGTCTTGTTTGTGACTTCCAAGTTATTGTTGTATATCTAGCTTATATTAAATAAATAAACGTATATAAATACTAGGTATATATTACAATCTTATTTATGAGATTAGTATTTAATTCTGAAATATCAATGTTATAGTTAATATAAACGGATAACATTCCTTTAATACAAACACAAGTCTCTGTCTGCGGTGATTGATCGAGGACACAATACACAACAAGCACGTTAAAGTAGTTTATGTTGTTAAATTACAATTCCCATTGGCGAAATAAAAACAAACAATTAGTTTATAAATATTTGATGAGGACATTGTACCTGAATATTATTTTTGAGAGAATATTATTATAAATTATAAAAAGAAATATATAATAATAAATATTCTGTGTGTTTCTTTGGTGTCTATAAACAGACTTAATAAGATTAGTCCCGAACAAAATGTTCATACTAATATATAATGTAGTAAGCAACAATAAAGAAAATGAAAAGAAATATACAAATATTTATTTAAAACACATACATATATCGCACGTAGAAATGTTTCAGATTGTCTCCTACAACAGCTACATAATTATTATTTAGTCACATTTTTCTTTTTTCTCTTTTTCTAAAATTGGTTAAATTATGTGAAATAATCATGCTCAAAGTGACCAATCAAATGATGGAGTAAAGGAATGAAATCATTAATAACACTAAGCACACACAGTTTGTTTAGTCCAAGTTAGCATTGCCCACACTACATACTTACGTAGCGTTAAATGTTTATCATTGCTAAATATCCCATCTAAGGTACAGAATTTAGGTAGGTTATTGAATAAAAAACACTAACCACTCCTCATGTGTGACCTTGCACATACATAAATCTGCACATCTACATATAATTCTCTTTCCTTGCATTTAATACGATACTTTGTTTACTTTATGATATTTGTTTTGTTTCCTTTAAACTGTTCTAACCCACTACTATGCCCCAGAACACAATATATAACAAAAACCCATCCATCATATCCAGACAAAGCGTGTTTCATTCACATTTTAATGACGTGTTTTCTATTGAAATCGAATATAGAAAGAATATTCCACTAACTCTCTCATTCATAGAATTATTTTTGCGATAGAACAAAAACTTTTAAATTTTTTTTAAAAGTGGAAGCTTTTATTTATACTTCAATCGTGAAATCGTTTGAGTTCTGGTCATTTCCTTATCTTCTATATATATAAAAATGGATTGCTGTTCCTTAGTCTCGCTAAAACTCGAGAACAGCTGAATGGATTTATCTTATCTTAGTCTTGAAATGTTCGTGGAGGTTCAGGGAAGATTTAAAAGGTGAGAAAAATTGATTCATTTCCAGGAAAACCCTAAAAACAGCCCTTTTCTATTTCCCATACAAATGTTTTCTTTGACATTAGATTTGACAACCAACTAATATGTCAATCATTCTGTTCGATTGAAACAGGAAAATACTGATTATTTATGGCCTCTAGGACGGAAAAGAGTTCGCCCGGTCAGCTATACATATATTACTAAATAGCTTTTGCCGCGGCTTCGTCCGCATGGAATAGTGACTTCCGGCAGATTTTTGATGTTTTTTTGAAATCGTTTGTTTGAACGCGCTAATCTCAAAAACTACTTGGTCGAATTGAAAAATTCTTTTTGTGTTGGATAGTCCAGTTATCGAGGAAGGCTGTAGGCTATACAACATCACGCTACGACCAATAAGAGCAAAGATATAGAGGTAAATGTGTAAGAAACGGGAGAAATTATTTCATCTTTGAAGCCTTCCGTTGCGTGCGCCGTGAAAACGGTTCAAGATACACAAAAAATATGTATTAAAGAATAATAGCTCTTTTAATGATCTAAAAAACAGTCTAAGACAGTATATGTCTATCTTTTAAGATTAACTCACAAAAATCGTTTTTATGGTACCTAATGTGGTCGAAATAATTTGTTTAAGTTGTATCAACATAATAATATTAATCTTTATTCAAATAAACAAATAAATATGTTGTTGGTAAAGAGTACTTCATTGTGAATTTTAAAAAAACATAGGTTTTATCCTGAAAATTCTACGGGAACTCGACCGCGGCAAAAGCTAGTAATAATATATACAGCATAAAAGTGCCAATAATATTAATACGTTTACATTCATATATTCCAATTTAAAAAAACAATTCCAAGTCCATTCCCATGATATTTATTGGTAAATTACATTCACTATAAATTATTATAGTATCAACGTTTTAAGACTTGATATTTTCGGCCAGCTTCAACAAAATATTTCTTATCAAGTTCGCCACGGCGGGATAGTTTTGTCCTAACAATGGCGCTCGGAGTTGAGGAACACACACCTTGTGGAAACACAGGAATTACTTATTTAGTGACCAACTGCATAATAAAAACTTATCTCGTCTGAATAAAATGAGTTATAGATAAGTCTATGCTACATATTTACCACAGCAAGCAAGACGACGAGTACGGGACACACCAGGTTAATGAGAAGAGCCAGGAAGGTCCTCACTAGCCACCACACGCCAACCACAACCAGTACGCTGGCTAACATTACCTGGTTGATGGACTGTTTTACTCAGGTTGTACACATTAGACTGTTTACTTCTGGTATAGTATTAAATATATACGCTTTTTTTACTACTGCCCCTAAATCGAAGATATGTTTTCAAAACTACTCTTTATAAAACTTTTATAAAATACTATTAGAAATATTGAACTTTTCTTTATTCTTCATCTTGTTACCTGATGAATATTTTGGATTAGTTGCATTAAATAAACTCATACATTAACTCAATTACGGGAATAAATTAAATTTTATACATCTTAGAAAAATGAAAACTATGTCAGCTCCAAAAACAACGAGAAAATATGTGAACATTCTAGAATACACTCAATAGTATCCAATTGGAAAAAACCGAATTAAATTTATTAAAAAATATATATTATTACGGAGTTTTCCAAGGATGACACACTAACAGCTGTAGTTAGCTCTTTGAACTCTGAAACTTTTTCCAAATTCTAAAAAAAGTTATCTAATGTAATGACAAAAATAAAACGGAACGGTAATTCAGAAACTATAAACAATATAAAATGTTCATTTATAACTATTAGTTTATATAATTTCTAAATTAGGATACTTTAAATATCAGGCAATTGTAAATCAGATACTCGCAACTAAATTTGTTTTATATACATAAGTATATAAATACCGCATAAATTAAATAAATTACTTTAAAATGGCAGCCCTAGATTACAAAAAATATAAATGAAGCCTTCTACATACGTACACACTAAGGGCATACTGTAAATATATAAGATAAAAATGTAGAGAATCTTACAAAGACCGTAAAAACCAAGGATTATTATTTATCTTAGATCTTACAAATTTAATCAAAACTACAGTCTAAAGTTTAATATCTATAGCAGGTTTGGGTACAAAGCGTATACCTGGGCTTCCTCATGCGCCTGAAGCCAGGATTTTAAAGCTGTTATCGCTGTCTTGGTAGTGGTGTCGCAAACATCAACACAGTTTTGGCATGACATCGTGTACTATACAACATAATTCATGAAATTTCCATACATGTAGTAATAATGAATAGTCATTTAAATGGTTTGAAATCTTCAACAGATAACGTCTAAATCCTAAATCTTCCAAGATCGTAAATCTCACTTACGGATAGCTCAGTGCTTTTCCTATAGAGCACTTCGGGTTCACATATATCGCTTGCGATTATTTCGATCACTTCTGTTGCCAAGAGAAGGGAGAGTAATAATCTTTTGTTTACTGCAATGCGTCTTCCTATAATATTTGTCATATTAAGTCCACAAACTTATTTATTATTAAAATATGTCGCTGTTGTAATGGAAATATAATGTAAAAATATCTACTCGTGACTTTTGATATCGTGTATTATTTAAATTAAGTGAAACTAATTATCAGGACAAATGTGCACAAGGAACCATCTTTATGTCAAAAATAATACCATTATCAAACCAGACGTCAGTTCATTCTCAAGCTTTAATAATATACAACGCCTGCACAAATTTGATTCTGCTGATGGGATTGTTGAATTGCATCGTACGCGGAACAAAAACGTTCTCGGCACAATACTCACGTTTTAATATTCCATATCTGAACTCACCTCGCCTTGCAACACTGTACATATTACTGAATAAAATCCATCCATATTTTTTTTATAAACCGCCACACATCAAATCATAACTGTTTTTGCTTTATTAAATGAGAATTTATACCTCTGTTTTCCACATAAAATTTTGCGTCGATGTTTGTGACATTTCAATGTACCTTTTTTTTTTATATCTATCCAGCCATTACTTTATGAAAAAAGTGCTAACGATTTGAAAACGTTTTACTGTTTTTTTTACTCTCTAGTTTAATTGAATATGATGTAGGAAAAAAATGGAGAAAAAATATGTAAAAAACAAAAGATACACACGTTTTAGATTAATTAACGCTTTTGTTATATTGTTTTCACTAAATCTTTACTTTGCATCTTTTACATAAACCTACATATGTATGTATATAGGTAAGGTAAAAAAACATATAAAAGTTATTTCAATACTTAATATTAAAGGAAACAATAAAATAATTGGGAAAAAAAAGAAAAATTGAAAAAAAAATTTACAGTTCTTAATAGTTACGCTTATTACCTTTTTTCACTTAAACTGATTAGTTTAAAACAAATTAGTAACTAACATCCATATATAACACGAGAATATACATATATATTATTCAACTTGTATTATAGAAGAGTTATAGCCAATACAGTGTATAAATTTTGAATTCCATAATTTAGTTCCAGATGCAACTACTGTAACAACTACCATTATTCCGATTTGTTAACTTTAAGGCTGGAGCGTTTAGCGATATTTAATGAAACTTAATAATAATTGTAGTTAGACAGAGTAACTTATAAAAAAAAATACAGTACCTTTTCTAATGTAGTTTTTTTTTTACTGAGTTCTTTTTTAAGCACCATAAATCTTGGGTGCAGTTTCAACAAGACGTATTTTTTGTGAACCAGAAATACTGTTTTCGTCACATTTATTAGAAGCTCTAGCTTGTTCATATTTTTTCATAAAAAATCTTTCAGCTTATAACTTGCTACGTACGAGTTAGCACGAATGTGTGTCTGGACTATAACAGTGTCAGTTTACGTTAACTCCAAATTGCAGTCATATTGCCTCCACTAAATGTTGCATTACACACGAATTTAGATATTTTATTTAACATATATAAGGACTACTTACTAAGAAATGAAATATCTATATTTTGATTTATATACGACTAGAAAGGTAACCCTTTGAATAACAAAGATTAAAATGTAAGCTAATAAATATCACCTAAAGAAAACACCTTAAATTTATTAACTCAACAATTAAACAGAAACTCTTTGGTGAATTTAGCGATAATGATCTGCTAAATTGATTACCTCTCCTAGACCTTGACTTTATTATACATGAAAGTTTGAAAAGATGAACAGCAAATAATAAGATTGAGGTACGAGAGGTGGGAATAATAAACTTATTGCTTCATGTTCAGACATAACAAATATTAGGATTACATGAACACTGAACCCAACAATTTTATATAAAAAAAGTGACTTATATAACTTCCAAACTAATATGTAACTGTATATTACTTTTCTTAAATCAATATTAAAAATTATCTAAGATAAGAAATGTTAAATATAAAACTAATTACATTAAGTGGAAATAATTCAAAAGGAACTTTCGGTAAGACGTCTATATTTGCCCGTGGTAAAACAAACTAAGATAGCGATGCGGGTGAATCGCCCGTTTGTGGGAGCATTTTCATTTTCCCGACTTAGCTTTTACTGGAGATAAGGGTCAAATACTTGGAATACAAACTGGTAATGGAGGTATCATTAGACTTCCATTTTCCTCATTGATCTGTACTGGCTTTAAATATAGCAACGTAAAAAATATCAAAATAATTATATTGACACTAACATTTTTTAAATTTGTCTTTTATATTAAGGGATATCAAAATGACACTCTGTCTTTTATGATATAAAAGTTTAGATTTTCAATAGTTATAAAAATATTTTTTTTCAAAAATACATTGATTTAAATATGATAAATTGATTTGATTAATGAATATAAAGCAGAAGGATTTAAGTTAACATCGTTACTTAACTGTATTCAGAATAGCTCAAATATTCCACCTGGCTCTTTTCACGACTTTTTATAGATCTCAAACGCAAACAAACTTCATCCACTGACGGCCATTTGCATTCACCAGAAAAGTTTGGAGAGTTATTTACAAAAGTTGAATAAAGTTTTTAAATGAAATTAGAGTTTTTCCTTTTAGTGCATTATAAAAAGATATCAACCATTATGAAATAATAGAATAACAGTAACTGTAAGCACTGTTTCTTATAATAGTCGTGGTATTAATTAGTATATTGAGAGAATGTCTCATTGAATATGAAAAGGAAGATTGAAAGATTACAGCCTCAGCAGAACCAAGTTTAATGCTTTAGGATTGAATTATTAATGATCAATTGTTTGTTATTTATTCAAATCCCAACGCATGAGATCTAAGAGAGGTGGGCAGGTAAGGAAAATCTTCAGAGGTAGATTTTATACACGTCGAAAGTAATTAGTATGTCTTTCGTTGAAACTAAAGTTATAAACTGTTGTATTATATACATATGTATATATGGAAGAGTTACTTAAAATCTTTCTTTTTTTTTAATTTCTTTAAATTTTTATCAATTAGATGAAATTATATCATAATAAATCTATACGCTACTGATAGTAATATCCAAAAAATAATATGTCCCAAATTGGCGTTATTATAAGGTTTTTATTTCAATTTTGGATCGATAAATACATTTTTAGAGAAGTGTGTACATGCCATATTTGAATTTAATTATCTCGAAAAGTATAGGGCTGTAAATGAATTGTATGTACATGGTCGGGAATACGATGTAATGTTTACCAAAAGCAAACATACTTAGAGTTTATAAACCTATGTTTTAATAATAAATCAAGTGCCTTCATAAATAACAAAGTCTCGTATCATATCTTTCCTTGTCTGCATTCACTCTAAGTCCCACAACACAACCCGTCTAATTTTAATGAAGACAAAGCAGGTACTCTGTAAATAATTCACAAACTTTTAATACAGAACGTTTTAAGCCTTATGTTAATACTACCGTAACATTTCCGTGATTTACTTTTGTTAAACACATCTGCATTTTCGTATGTATAATTTAAACTAATTAAGTATTATGGGACATATTTTCCATTTATCTTTATCAGCAGTAGGTGACAGTCAGTAGCCATATATGTTAAAATTTAAAGGTCTTTATAGTGTTCCTGAGATATAAATGATCTCGCAATGAAAGGAATACTTTTTCAAGAAGCAAATATCGAGTATGTGTAAAAACTTATATATGTATATCCATCATGTAATTTTTTTCAAATTATTAATTTTATTTGAGCAAAATCCAACTAGATATGTTAAATCTGACTGGGACAAATAAATAAATTTGTTATAACGATATGTCATAATTTGGTACCGGTTGAAATATTACAAGTAATAAGTAATTGACGTTAGCGATGATTTTATAAACAAAATTTATTAAGTACTATCGGGTAATCAATGCTGTCTTCAAGATTGATTTTAAGTTTTTTTATTACAGTTTTCAATTATACAATTATTTAATAAGATTAAACAATGTATGTAAGAATATTAATAAACAATTGTTTACAAAATGTTATAACTAAAAAACTGCATATTTTTTTGTAAGCTATTATTTGGGTTTGACGTATAGATTTTTGTCTCCAAACATTAACAACATGAAGTACAGCAATAAAATTTACCTTGTCTAGTCGCTTGTTATTGTGAAAATGAATTCAGGGGATCAAAGTAGGAAGGTTTTTGGGACAAATGATGACAAAGTAGGGAATGGGGAAGGTTAATTACACAATCACTTTTAATTAAAACATTTTAGGTCAACAGTCCACAGCATCTACTTATTTTTCTGTTTGTTCTAAACTGCTAAATAGTCGTAATTACATTTTTTTACTTCAACAACTGAGTAATTTTTATATCTACAGAAAAACTGTGACGTTTATAAAGAAAAAATTAAGCATACCTGAAATTTTTGTAATCGAACTTTTGTCTTAAAGTAGTATTTATATTATGTACGAGTCACATTTTATATTTTTGGTATAATTTGTTATAAATAGAGTGGCAGAATAATATGAAGTAAATAAAAGGCAAAAGCTGATTATATTAAATAAGTCTGATATATTTCCATCAGGCGTCTTATTATATTCAAATACAATACTAAGCCGGCGTCGCTCTAATTGGCTGCTGTGGTGAACCAGCTTCCTAGCAATTTGACGGAAGCAAAAATATTTTATAATAATTCTTGCTCTTCGGTAAATAGCAACAGAATAAATTTTTCTGTTCCCCAGAAATTTTATTAAAAAATATAAAATTTATTTAAATATATAATTAAATATATGTATGTGTGAGTGTGAGAATGTGTATGTGTAGAGTGAAGGATATCAAAAGCCATTATGTTGTTTTTGTATCTAAATAAATGAATCAAATCTTCTGTAGGAAAATGACAATAATATTATTAATACATATAATATAATATTATTATAAAATCTAACTTCAACTTTTACTATTTCCAAAAAACTCTCGTATATTTTCTCATACACGATACGTCTCTTAGTCATCCAATGACTTCCAATGAGTGATTTTGAAATTTAATTTTGCATCGAGGTTCCGAAACATGCTTCGTAAAAT